AGCTGCAAGATTAAACTGGTATGGGTTAAAATGTAATGATTATTAAAACATCATTATAAGTAACCTATTAGGAGTCAAACATGAACATCATCACTTAGAGCAGAATTAAAAGATCATAATCCATATGTTAAAGTGATTACATTATCGTAACAAATAAAATAAACAAGTTCAATTCTCAATGCAATCAATTAAGCATGCCATTCCCAATCAATTAACATATTTAATCTTCCTTTTGATTCAACTAAACTTGTATAAATCTCTAAACATTCTCTTCATTCCATCAACATAACTATATTTTTTAAACAAATCTCTTCCTTTTTCCATTATGTTCTAAAGAAATCATCACTCAGCCCAACAAAAAGTGTTTTGTTTTTGTTTTTCTTTCTGAAAGCAACGTTAAAAGAGGCCTTGCTCTGCAATACTGATATAGCAATTGAGTTGAGACGCACACAAACACTCTCGCATTTTGTTAATAAAGCCTGCAAACGATCTTCTCCTCTGCAATATCTCCACTCTTTCATGGCACATGGCCTTTGAATCACTGGTCTTGATGTAATCATTGTAGCCATCCCTCCCTTTAACTTCATCTTCTTTTTGAACCCAATTCCGCTCTCTCTAAAAAACACCCAATTCTCTGCAGCCATGGCCCTTCGCCATTATTAGAAGTTCTAGCACGAGAGAGAAAAAACAGAGTGGGTTGTTTGTTGTCACTTGGGTTTGGTTTTAATGGGCAGTGACCAAAAATGGGAGGCGATAGCGCCGGCGCTGCCGGCTGTGTCACCGTTGAACCCAGAAAGAGATGAGTATTGGAGCCGTTTTGATGATTCGGTTAATGCCGTGTCATTTGGGTTTGTGGCTACTGCCATTCTCATCTCTATGTTCCTTGTTATGGCCATTTTTGAGAGGTTTCTCAGACCTAGATCGCCGGCGGCTATCGGCCGGCCGCCTTCTGATCTTGAAGCCCACATGATGCTCGATGGAAAGCCTCGTTACCCATCTCCCAAGGTTTTTGTCTTCTCTTTTCTTCAACTTACCCTACATTTTGTTTGGTCTTTTTAGTTGTTTGTGCGCTTTGTTTCAGCTGGTTTAAGGCTTGATGGGTAGCCTGTGAATCTTATGAAATTTCATTATCTTCAAGAATAGTGGCATAGCTTGTTGGCACTTAGTTCCTCTAGTGGGCTGCATTATTGGCCTATCTAATCACTGTTTTGTTGCATTTCACATCAAACCATGAAACCCTTTTGTTCTTAATCTTTAGAGGTTTAGATCAACGCCCTCCTTGATGTTGCTGATAATATCTGTTTGTTTATGGAAGTTTGTCGTGGCCTTGTGATTATCTTATGGTGTTACTACTCAGAATCATAGTTCTATCTCTTTTGGTGACAATTAATAATGTTTAGACTATTTTGAAACAGTTCTCTTCTGGAAATTTCTACATTACCTCTGTTTGATAACGTTAATACAATAGTCTTCTTCCTTCTAGATTTTAAGGATAAGGGTCCACAGCATGTAGGTAGCATGTGTTTTTGTCTCAATTGTCAAAGCCATCCAAACCAGTATAGAATTTGATGGGAAAAACATGTTCATAAGGCATTAAAATGTGGAAGCTGCTCTTCGTTTTTTAAGCATTAGTTGCTTGTGAAACTGTAGCAGATGGCATTTTAGAGAATAGATTATTCAAAGTCATCTCGATCCAACAAACTTAGTGTAACACCCCAAACCATTGCGTCTATTAGAGAGACGTTTCCACACCCTTATAAGGAATGTCTCGTTCCCCTCTCCAACCGGTGTGAGATTTTACAATCCACCCCTTTTGGGAGCCTAGCGTCCTTGTTGGCATACCGCCTAAGCCCGCCACTAGCACATATTCTCTTTTTTGGACTTTTCCCTCAAGACTTTAAAACGCGTCCGTTAGGAAAAGATTTCCACACCCTTATAAGAATGTTTCGTTCCCTCTCCAACCAATGAAGGATCGATCTCACTCTTAGTCAACAAATCGATCCTACACCATTAAATGCATTGTTGATATCAAGCAAGATATAGCACAACTGTTCATAAACCTTAGGTGCAGTAGCAAGTTAATTACAAACATAATCACATGCTATGTTTCCCTTTCTGATTACAGTATAGTAATGTGCACATATTTTAAAGTATTTATAGCTTTATAAAGTGTCTCAAAGTCTCTCATCTGGCACCATTTTCAATACTTTTCCTACATTCTATGAGGTATACTTGTAGCATACAAGCATGTATTCAAAGATTTGAGCGATACTTTCAGCTTTATTGTGTTGGAAAATATAGTAACAGAGTAGAAGGGTATTGAAATAGGAGGCCCTGGGATCAATCTGAATCTACTCCCACTAGTTTGTGTTCTATTCTTGCATCTCAAGGATGATAAAGTTGTCCTCCTTTTTGCTCATAGGACAGCTATTTTCAACTGAAAATCAGAATAGTTATGATTATTATGAGTTATCTTTGTTGTTTGAGGACATTTGCTTTTAGTGACCATCATGTTTGATCATGTGGCTGTTTTTTCTCTTATTAAGGGGGGGAAAGGCAAAAGAAAAAGGGTGAAAAGGTTCAGACAAGCATTAATGTTCTATTGGAGTGAGGTTTTGATTCATCTGTTTTTTAAGTAAATTTATAATTCTGTACTGTTTTCAACAGTAGCTGTACAGTGCTCAAGCCATTAATATACCTATCTCTCTCTCTCTCTCGGATGAAGAACATGCTACAGAACTGTCATGCATATATTTGTGACAACAATCAAACAAAAAACTACTACTTTATTGCGTCTGTCGAACATGCTTAATCATTTCTGACTATGACCTTCTTTTGTACCGCTGCTGGATTCTTGTAACATTTTGAGAACCATGAATTACATGTTGGTTGGAGAGGAGGACGAAACATTTTTTATAAGTATGTGGAAACCTCTCTCTCTAATGACGAATTTTAGAATTGTGAGGTTGATGGCGATACGTAACTGACTAAAACGGATAATATATGTTAGCAGTGAGCTTGGGTTGTTACAAATGGTATCAGAGTCAGTTACGGGGCGGTGTGCCAGCGAGGACGCTAGGCCCTCAAGGGGGGTGGATTGTGAGATCCCATGTCGGTTGGAGAAGGGAATAAAACATTCCTTATTAGGGTGTGTAAACTTCTTTCTAATAGACGCGTTTTAAAATCTTGAGGAGAAGCCCAAAGAGCATAATATATGTTAGTGGTGGACTTAAGTTGTTACAGCGAGGACTTCAGAATCAGTTACTAGGTAGTGTACCAGCGAGGACGCTAGACTCTTAAGGGAGGTGAATTGTGAGATCTCATATCGGTTAGAGAGGAACGAAACATTCCTTATAAAGGTGTAGAAACCTCTCTTTAGCATACGGTTTTTATAGCCTAAAAGGAAAAACTAAAAAAGGATAATATCTACTTGCAGTGTGCTTAGTGGATTGATTGATTAGTTGATTCTTTATTACTTGATTTATGTAGATGACAGTTTATGCCCGGGGAGTATCAGTACTGATGCCTGGTGAAGAAATTCCGACCTACATAGCTCACCCGGCTCCTGCACCATGTCCTCCAGAACCCATTTTAAAGCCTTTGCATCAACATAACTTGAGCCTTTGTCAATCAACAAGCGTTACATCAAGCTCCAACATCAGTTGACCTGAAACATAACATCACTACAGAACAAGGGTTGTCCCACACTTGAAATTTCAGCTTACAACTTGACATTCTAAAGTTGAAAACACGGTGGAAGTCAAATCAACTTCAGTCTCTAGCTTCGAGCCGTGTAGGTTATATTTGAAGATGTGGATTGGGGGTTTCTCCTGCCCCCACCAAATTAAAGAGAGGATGGAAATGAATGATTGTTGTAAGCTGATTATTACTCTGATTGTTTGTTCATAATGAATCCCATGCCTCTCTCACTCACATCAAAGTTGCAACATTGTTAATTGTCTACATGATTCTACTGTCAATCCAGAAAAGAGGTGAAACATGTGCATCCAAAACACGAATTAAAGAAGAAAAGGAACAGATGATGACCATTTATTTGAAGTTCTCAATAATACTGCATCATCTTATCTCACATAATGCCATTGTTATCATATCACAGAGAAAAACTTGATGCCATCACAGCATTTGCAAAAGAATTATCCTGGGTTTGTAATCGGTTCGAGAAGAGAACGAAACATTTCGGTATAGAAACCTCTCCCTAGTGCACGTATTTTAAAATCTTGAAGGAAAGAGCGGTGGACTTAGACTGTTATAAATAATATTATAACCAGTTACTATGGTGCGCCAAGGACGCTGGACTCTCAAGGAGGTAGATTGTAAGATCTCACATCAATCGGAGAAAAGAACTAAGCATTTCTTATAAGGGTACGAAAACCTGCGAGATGCTGCCTCCCAAGGGGTAGATTGTGAGATCACACGTTAATTGGAAAAAAGAACAAAATATTTTATATAAGGATATGAAACTTTCTTGACATGAGTTGGAGAAAGAACCGAACATTACTTATAAAGGTATGAAAACTCATCGTGCATTTTTTTTTCTTCCGGAAATGGCATTAACAGCAGATCAACAGAGATGATGACTCAAAATATTAACGGAAATCTTGGTGCAAATTCTCCTCGGACTCCACGCTGCTTTAGTTGACTCCTTTGTCTGGAGTGCTCGGGACAGCGCAGTCCACAAGGCAACACATAGAGAAAAGAAAAAGAGAAACGTTACAGCGTTAGCCCCACCAGAGAAGACATAGCCTGTACTCCATGCATATTCAATACCAGCCCAAAGAGAAAAGAAGGGGGGAAGGAAAAAGACTTCACTTTTCCCAAGAACAATAAAGAAAGATGCCAACTTGGAGGACCATTTGAATTGCAAATCCCCAAAACCAAGTTGGAATCTCAAAACACGAGAAATACTAATTTCTTCCTGTATTTAGAGTCTAAACAACCATGATACCACTTAAGATTTGGAAAAAAAGGGGCGGTCCAAGTGAACAACAAGCAATCAAATAACTACAGCAACCACTACCCAAGTCTTGTATACAACACATTTCCAGAATTTTGACATACAAGCCAACCAACTCCTACCCAATACACTAATATGTTCTAAAATCTACAGAAAGATGAAACATTCAAGTGAGACAAGAGGGTTTTCAATGGATTCATTTGGGGGCTGAGTTGCTGAACCATCCATTGCCTTATCCACCTTTCCTTCGTCTCTTTTCTCGGTGGTCACTGCCTCTGGCTGCTCACCGGCTTGTCCAGTCACTTTCAAGGCACTGCTTTTCATATTCCCTGTCTTATTCGTTTCTCTAACTGTTCGAGTAGCTGGTGACCTCGAACGGCGGCCATGGTTGACTCCAGATTTTTGTTCTTGCCCTCCATTCAGTTTCCTGGTCCTTGCCTCTCTTGATTCTGTCGTTCCATGTGTGTATCTGCAAGTAACACGCGACTTCTTCTCTGATAACAGTTCAGCAGGTCTCTTTGTTGCACATTTGTCTCTCTGTTCTCTTCGATATGATGGGTCGCCGGAATATGGACGCTTTCTTCGAATTTTCGGTTTTGGATTCCGACCCATTTCTCTGCTCTGTTTACTTGATGCTTCGTCCCCTTCTCTTTGCTCCGAAATGGTGGTCGCCATTGACACGCTTTCGCTCATATTGCTGCACCATTCTGTAACCTGAGATACCTCTGAAACTGAAAGTGTACCTTCCTCCACTTTGTTGAGTGAACCATCCATTTCACTTGATTTTACTTTCAACTCGGAAGACTTGTTCTTTGGGGATGTTTGCTGTATGTTACATGGCTTGGCAATGGGAGTCTCTGAGAGGACTTCTTTGACGGTTTCCTCTTCCGGGGTTCCAGTGCCAGGGATGTTTCCAACATCGGTGATGGCGCATCCCGGTGACGGAGTTTTCGCTGAACCACGATCCTTGTCTAGGATATGAGGCTGACCTGTTTCCAAGATTCTGCTGCAGCAACAACCCATAGAGTGGTGAATGTGGAGAAGCAATGGAGATGGAAGCTAAATGTAGTGAGATAATTGAATTTGAAAATTTGAATTAAGGGTTGAGGGTACTAAATTTGGGTGGGAAAGAAAAGCACCTGGGCGTGACACTCCAGAAACAGAGAGGGGAAGAGAGGAGCTGTGGCAGAGTTGGCAGGGAAATGGCTCGACGCCCAGTACCAATGGAGAAGATACTGACTGTCAATGGCGTGTTTAATACGGGGCAGGATTGGTTCAAGTTATAAGTCAGACAGGGTATCGTAAAAAGATGTATAATGTTTTCACCTGACTTTCCTTTTTAACTTCCAATACAAAAATATTTTACCACTCAACAGAGCACTTCACAGCTTTTCCCACCACCGGATGAGGGCTAGAGAAGAAAATGAGCAGAGCCTTTATGTCAACTCGTTAACAGTTGAACCTGCTTTTTCATTAGAATCCAATAAGTGAAGCATTTGAATGAACGAGCAAAATGGTAAAGAAGTAAAAACCTATACAAATAGCAAATGAATGAAAGTCCAATTTCAACATTACAAGAATAGCAATATTCCCATGCTGATCGGCAAGAACAGGAGGAAGGGGACATATCATATAACATAGCAAAGCAGACTCAATGGCATCTGCAGCGGATCAGGAGCACAGAAAATTGACAAATGACGGAACAAAAGTGCAATTTGGCAACACGTCAACATACATGCAACGTGGTTAATTATGTTGGGATGGTTGGAGACAAATGACCAATAGAAATGGTAGCAATAATCAAGGCTGGGTAGGGTGTGAACTAGAAGCTGACCGATCTGATTCAATCATTGATTTGATATAGAATTCTCCTGCTTTGTATGAGGACCTAACCATTGGGCCAGATGCCACATACCGAAAACCCTGTCACAACCAAACAAAAAATGGATTTTTCAGATAATTCTTGCACCCTCAAGACATGGCAACAAACTCCCCATCCATTAAAAAACTATTGATCATGTGATAACTTGATGGTGGAGATTTCCTATAAATTTAGAAATGAGGGCTCTGCAGAACAGTGTGAACTAGTATATACTTTAAGCTAAAACATGGACTCCCTCGAACAATCAAAACACAATTACACATAAAATTACAACGATACAAATCCTAGAGAAGGAACATATAAGAAATGCAAATGAAAATTATCCGCAGCGTACCAGATTACGAGCCTGAATGGATTGATTATCTGAGGGCTTAAAATTGTTTAGGTGAATGAAAAAAAAGTGTTTTTAAGCGGGAGTTAAAAAGGGTTTAAGGGCTTGATTAAACAATCTCTTGCAGAACAAAGACAGAACACAACCAAAATGTTCAAATAATAAGAAAGAGACTACCATTTTCATGCCAAGATTTTGATACTTCTCGAAAGCCTCAGGAGTGATGTATTCTGATACAGGCATATGGCGCTTTGAAGGTCTCATGTACTGACCAAACGTCATCACATCAACTCCAGCTGCTCTCACCTTCTCCATTGTTTGCACGACTTGATCTGGTGTCTCCCCACAGCCTAACATAATGGAAGTCTTCGTAAGTGTTCCAGAAGGGGCAAACTCTTTGGCCATAACTAGAACATCTAATGATTGCTTAAAATTAGCACGATGATCCCTAACAGCTCCCTGAAGCTCCTCAACTGTCTCTATATTATGAGCAAAGACGTCGAGGCCTGACTTTGCAACATTTTCTACACAGCCGGGGTCTCCTCGAAAATCAGGAACTGCAAAATCAATTAGTTAAGCAACATCAAAAAAAAAAAAAAATGTAACAATGGAAGTGGCTTTCATTTAATTCCTTAGTTTGATAGAAACCAGATAAAAGAAGGCTCGTAAAAATCAAGCGTCACGCCAAGGATCCTTGAGTGCAACAATGAAAGTGACATTGTGATACGAAAAGGAATCTAGGGAATTAGTACCCAATGCCTCGATCAGCATATTTGGCTTCAACACCTTAAGTTTCTGCACAGTCTCTGCAAAATGACCACTCCCTTGATCAGGTAAATCGTCGCGATCCACACTAGTGATGACCACATAATCCAAGCCCCATGATGCGATTGCCTCAGCAACATTTTTCGGCTCATTTGGGTCTGGTGGAGGCGGAGTTCGTGATGTTTTGACGTTACAGAACCTGGACTACAAACAAACCCAAAACAGCGATGGAATGAATAGAAGTTCTGAGGCACTGAGATGATATCAAAGTAATCAACACGGCCATTTATATGACAAAAACACATTGGTAATTAAATAGTCAAACGAAATGGAATGAATAAATTGAATTAACACTAGCCTGCAACCCGGGTACAAGTGTCACCAAGTATCATAATCGTAGCAGTGGCAGTGCCGGTTTCTCCACCAGACCAGCATTCCCCCAAATTAGGGCACCTAGCCTCCTCACAAACCGTATGAAGCTTCAATTCGCGGAGCTTCTTCTTGATTTGAACATACTTCTCGCCACCAGGCACGGATTCCTTCATCCATTTAGGCTTAGGAAGGGGCTTCTTCTTCGTACCAACCTCCACCGAATACGACTCAGAAGATTGCAGGTCAATGAAGTCGGAAAGTGAGGGGGTCTCAACGGCGAGTCGTTCACGGAGACCGGCCAAAGTTCGAGGGAATTGGGAGGAGGTTGCAGAGGCGGCGGCTGAGGAAGATGAAGAAGAGAAGAATCTGCCAACGGATTCTAGGAGTCGAGCTAAGCTTCTGCCATGGCTGTTCATCGTGAGATTGGCGACCCCGTTAGAGAAGCTCAGGACAGATGAAGGACGTTCGTTGGTAAGGCGTTTTTCCGCCAAATCCCATAGGAATACAACTCTATTGGGCTTGATAATGGATATATTTTGGCCCAATTTAAAAGCCCAAAAAACCCTCTAGTGCCTTCATTTAATTACAAAAAATATATATAATTTAAGTTTTTTTTATAAATAAATTAATATCCACCCCATTTTTTTTCAAATTTTATAATAGGATTTGTTACGGCAGCCATTCGTGGTCGAGCATCAGATGGTTCCAACTCGGTCTATAGATCTTGAAAAATTTTCACCTAGAGAGTCGCAAGATTGCAATGAGCTGAAGCTGTCATCGACCTCCTAGCCTCTGCTAGATCTTGAGCTCCAAATTAGTATATCATTCAGATACACCACAAGACATCAGATGATTCTAGTTTCATCAAAGAGAACAAAATACATATCGATGCCATATTAGATAGCTAGATATTTTAAGAATATTATATAATAAATAAATAAAAGTAAAATATAATTTTATGATTAAAAGTTATCAATTCATGTAAAATAATAATTTTTTTAAAATATGATGTCGTGATCGCCCTCGAAACAAAATTATAAAAGACATACTTTGAGATCAAATGAGGTAAGCTTTTGATGGAGGTGACCCAATTGAGACATGTTGAATGGAACCTCAGCCGCCCAAAGTTGGGTTGCTGACTGGACATTGGTTCTGTGATTATCCAAAAATGTCTTTATCTTATAATATTAATCAAACCAATCCTTATCATAAGTTAGAACTTCGTTAAGAACATGTTGCTTTCCTTACCAAACTTCCATCTTTTCCTTCACTCAATCATCCTTCAACTTTTTTTTTTTTTTTTAGGGGTTCGATTCTCTTGGTTCATTGATCTTTTTGAATGGTTTGTCTATAAACTTGTTGACCCTTTTAGATGATCGGTATGTTTGAGTTAGTTGATAGGTTGGATCAGCCTCGAGCTTGTTTAGGACCAACCTCTAGCTTGCTGGTTGACTCGACCATTGATTTGCTAATCTCTAGTTTATTGATTGGAAACGTCCTATACTTATTTTAAAAGAATTCTGTCTTTTGACTTTTTTTTTTTTTTTTTTTTGAATTGTAGTCGAAAGATTCGAACTTCTAATTCTTCTCGACGAATGAATCTCTTTTATTTATCTCCGAGGATAGAAAGTAACAGATTAGCTATTTGTTCCTTCTAGATCCTTCCACGAGAAAGATTACTCGACAAACACACAAACTAGCAAAAAAAAAAAAAACATAAAAAAAAGGTTACTTAGCTAATAAGACTTGAGCTAAAATTAAAACATTATTAAAACCCACTTCCAATACCTTTTCCTATCATCCTTTTTTGTTACTTGTCGTGTTATTTCGTTTCTAAATTAGACCATGATGTAGATATTAAGGTGACTTGGACAAACGCCATCTTAATTTAATTTTCATTTCCTCATTTAAAAAAAACACCCACTTTTATTTTATTTTTTCGTTCCAACATGTAAAGTAATAGTGTTAAATGTAAGGATACGTCTCGTTTTCTTAGTTTTGGCTTAAATCAATCACCAAATCAATATCTTTCGTTTTGTAGAATCAATACAATGTTTAATCGAGTGAAAATTGATTGATTAAATTTTTATTTGGATCAATCAATTTTTTTCAGTTTATTCTATCAATTTCTGCCTTATTAGAGGTGAAAGAATTGAGAGATCCCACCTCGATTGATATAAAAATTTCGGGAATATTAAAAAAATGAAATAGAAAACTCTTATTTTAGAGTACCTCTCGCATGCTAAGCGAGCGTTCTACCATCTAAGTTACATCCCCACATGAGAGACTAATGAAAATGATATGAAATTAAGACAGAGAAACAAAATATTTCGTGTGAAAACTTATTAAGACGTTTTAAAACATTAAAGGAAATCTGAAAGAACACAAAGAGAACAATATCTGTTAGCAGTGCAATGGGCAGAATCGTTATATTTTTTTTGGATAATTTTTTTTAAAATTGAATCAAAACTTAATATATTTGATTTTAACATAATAATAATAATAATAATAATAAATAACCTTCACGTCCAATTATATGCCACCTATCCCATAAAAACAATTGATTTTCATTCCTACGATAATAAATTTTTTGAGTAAAATATAAAGAAAAAAGAAAAAGAAAAAAAAGCAGGGACTTTTATGTAATTTGACTTCATAGATTCGGTAACAAAGGAAGTGAAAGGATAGGGCAAGGATAAAAAGTAAAGAAAAAAGTATGCGGAGCCTATTTCTGCAATTCCTTTTCTAAAAATAAAAGTTCTTTTTCTTGATTAATTAATTATATCCGTAAGCTCCTTTTAGTATTAGCAAATCAACTTTTGCCCCATCTGGATAACTAAATTACAAAAACTCCCCAATCTTTGCCCATTACTAGAAAGTTCCTCCTATTTTCCATCTTTATTCTCTCTAAAAATAAAAATAAAAAAAAAAGCAAGAAAGTCACGTGGCTGCTGAAAATTGGAATATTCTAAAAAATCATCTTACTGGAAGGCAATTGTTGGAATTAATTAATTAATTAAACAAATTTGGTTATTATTTGTTTACACTTTTGTGGGGTTTTTTTATAATTATTTTTTCTAAAGGGCACTGATTGAATGTTTGTTTTCTCCCCGACATCTTAGAAAAAATTCCATAATTTGACCCCAAAATTTTGTTAATATTATTATTTTCAACTTTGGTATAATTTTAATTTTACCATTTATTTAAATTTTATTAATTCATGTCATTGTCATTACGAATTGAAAATTTTTTAAATCATAAACTTAGGGAAACTAAATTAAAGATTTTAAATTAAATTAATTATAGAATTATTGTCGTTTTGAATTCTAATTGGCTGATATTTGAAAATATTATTTAATTGAAAAAAATGAGGTAAAAATTTTGACGTTTTTGTTAGGGGGTGGTGAGCCGTAGGGTTCTGACAGAGAGCCCATGTCACAGTCGACCGACCACGTGATGGCCCCTGGTATACTCCACCTTCCGGCGTAGTTCCTTTGCGACGGTTAAAGCTTCCTCACGCGCCCATCTTATGCGCGTGCGTTTCACTTTCCTATCCCCGACTCTTATACAAAACCTTCAACTTTATAGACAGAAAAATCAGTTGAACTATGCTCATGTTACATTTAGCTCATTTTTAATATTTAAATATAAAATTTTGTGACCACAGTAGTTATAGACATGAAAACCATTGAACTATGTTCATGTTGACATTCAGCTTCTTTTTAATATTTGAAAATACATTCAGCTTCTTTTTAATATTTGAATATAAAATTTTGTGACCACAGTAGTTATATTATTTCTTTATATAGACAGAAAACCAGTTCAACTATGCTCATGTTGACATTCAGCTCATTTTTCATATTTGAGTATACAATTTTGTGACCACAGTAGTTATATTATCTCTCTATATAGACAAGGAAACCCGTTCAACTATGCTCATGTTGATATTCAGCTCCTTTTTAATATTTAAATATAAAATTTTGTGACCACAACACGTATATTATTTCTCTACAGATAGAGAAATCAGTTGAACTATGATTAGGTTGACATTCCGCTCTTTTTTAATATTACCACAACAGGTATATTATTTCTTAGGGAAACCAGTTGAACTATGCTCACGTTGACATTTAATTCTTTTTTAACATTTAAATATAAAATTTTGTGACCACAACATGTATATTATTGATGATCGTATTTTATATTCAATATATCTATATATATATATATATTTTTTAATAACTTCTTAAAATGAAATAAATAATAATATAAAAAAGTCGACATTATATTATTTAGAAAATTGAGATAAAAAAGGAAAGTGGAATGGGGAACATCATGCCTTCTCGAGCAAGTAGGGGATATCTCACGCGCTCTAGAGCGCGTGGTACACGTTCGGCATGCTTCATCTAAAAAACCATAGCATGAGAAATCCATTCAATAAATTCATACACCGAAATTTTTTATAATTTCTATTTTAAAAAAGTTGTAGAGAGAGAAATAGAACATTGAGAACGAGAGAGAAAAAGCAGCAAAGTTTAAAAGAATTTCAGGCCTTTACCGTACTGCTTTCTACATTTCCAGCTTCTTTTTACTTAATTTTCCAGATTCTTAGCTTATTGGGTACTCGCCGATTTGCGCTGAAATTGAATTGAATTGAATTGATTTGAATTCGAAGTTTTCATTTCTGTTTTTTGATTTGTTAAATGTAAGTTTGCCGTGTTCTACTTCTCTTGCTTGATGCAATGAATCCCAGTTCCTTCCTATCTTCATTTCATTTGGGTGTTCAATGTTTAATATAATTAAGCACTCGAGCTTGTAGAAAGCGGCTTCCAGCTTTTTGTTCTTCTTTTTCTCAGCAAGTTCGCTTTCCATCGTCAAATTTGCTCTGCATTTTGCTAAGTTTCATGCTCCTCCAACTTCACTGCAACTTCGTATTTCTATTTCTGGAACCCATTTTCTTGATGGATTCAGATTCGTAGTTGTTATCGGACTTTGAGCGTTTGGGTTTGGTCGGCGCCACTCTGCTGTGTGTTCAATTCTTGACTTGGGTTTTCTGGGTATTGAGTTTAATCTTTGTTCTATGGAATGTTGAGCTTAGATTGAGTTTGTTTGTTCTATGGAATGTTTATGGTTGGTGATTTCAGGTTGGAGGATGTTTGGGCTTTTTCAATAAGAAGATATAGAGGTGTGTTTTGCATCAATGGGTTGGAAGAGATCCTCGAGGAATGGCGATTTGAGGATCTGCGTGCAAGTTTTGGTCGGATTCGTCATCTGTTCAGCTCATGTTCTTGTCGGAGTTACGAATCCTGGGGATGGTAACGCTTCATTTTAACTTTAACTTTCTAGTTTTATCATATAACTTAGTCACTTGATCCTTTTTTGTGAAGTTAGTCTTGGCTTGGCTCCTCTTGTTGGGTTCTGTTTGTGTACATACCTTGTTTTAGAAGCAGCTGGGATATATTGTTCGCTTTGGCC